ATTCACGATTAGATACAGACTTTTGAAGAGATAGGATCGAGTATTGTATTCTTGTATATTTTTAAAGATAAATTTTTTTTTTATAAAAAATGACAGACTAAATGATGCCTTAGATTTCAGTATTTATGAAATCTTTAAATAAAATGACTTCTACATTGAATGTATCTTCTCTAGAGAAGTAGTCTCAGGATAGTCTAGAAAGATTTTTATTTTAAAGCTGAATTACTATGTTCAAATTTTCAGATCATTTATAAATAATTATAATCATGTTAATGTCGACTATTTCAATTGGATAAATTTTATTTTTCATTAGAATAAATTGTTACTAATTAGTTAATTATTTTATATTAAATTCTTTTTTTTTTTTTTGACTGAAATGTCTCATCCTTTCAATTAATGAATGCAAATGAAATATACATAGTCAATTTGTAGAATTAATTCTGTAAATTAAATTGTTTTTTTTTTTTATAATACATTTTTTGTTGTTACAATGTCTCTTAGTCAAAGTTAGATGTTTTTTAAATGTTCAGATAAATTTTTGTTTTTGCATTAAATAAAAATTGGAAAACAAGACATTGATATAAGATCTTGGAAATCTTGATTAACAGTATCCAAGATCAGGAAAGACAAGATATTTGATAGAAGAAGTTGAATATATGTTATCAAGATCTTACAAATCTGTATCCAAGATCTAGTTATAGATCTTGGTATAAAATAATTGTATTATTTTGTACGTAAATTTTCAAGATCTGTTCACTTTTCTATACCTTGTATCTTGACCGAGATCTTGTTTACAAGATGTTCGACTAGGGATAAGAAATAGGCTAATAGTAAGATAATAAATTATGAGATCATACTTTACTGATCAGTACCATCACTTTCCACAAAGTTATACAATAGTCAAAAAAATGTTAGATTTTTGAAAAATAGTTTCATCAAGAAAAAAAGAACAAATGCTTATTTGTTTGTTTTTTAACATGTTGATATTTTTTTGAATCGTAACTAATATTTATGGCATCACTTTGTTTGATCTAGAAGTATATGACTGTCTACGACTGCCAAGCGCCATCTGTATCGTGGTAATTCTGCATAAACATACGTCACTTTTACAGGAAACTATTAGTGTTTGGTATCTTCCAATTAAAAATAACAATTGGAAACAAAATTTTCATTTTATGTATGTAAAATCAATTCATAGTAAAGTATAAAAAAAAACAAAGAGAGTTCCTTTTTTTTTTAACGGTACATACATATACTTCCTTTCTTTTCTTTTTTTAAATAAATTTTCATTTTATAGTCAATGACGTCAAATTGGAGGAAGAAAAGTCATATCTAAATCGAAATCTTATCTACACTAAATAAAGGTTAAATATTTCTTATTTTTATTTTAATGATTAATTTTTTATGATGTCTACTCTCAAGGTTTTACCTTTCCTATGTAAATAGTCTTTTTTATATTCTATGAAAGTAAACTATAAAAAAAACTGCTTGTCTTTTTTTTTTATAAGACAACAAGAAAATAGAATTTGATTAAGTTTCTTTTTTTGATTTTTTAGATGATTATTTAATAAAAACAAGAACTAAAAAAAAGTATACCAAAATGTAGAAAAATAAAGCATTTTTTCTTTCTTTGAATTTAAATCTAATGTTTTCATTAAGTCAACGTTATTTATTTGACCATCTATTAACATTTGATGATTTATCGAAAAAATCACAATATAAAAATATAAAATTTAAACGTGCTTTTGAATTTCTTCAATTACTTTTTCTTCAACGTGTTTATGGTATCGATATAATAAAACGTTCACCAATACGACAATTATATAAACAACAACAACAACAACAATATCAATTTGAAGTATTTCTAGGTGGTTCATGTAATCCAACAACATGGAGACATGAGCAAGCTATTCCTTATTTTCAATTACATTCAGTTGCTTATTATAATCCACAAGTTGCTAATTGGACACCTGATTTAGTTGAAATTGAACATAATGCAAAAGAATCAGCAAGACTTTTATTTTTTGTTATTGATCATGATACACGATCATTAGCAGCTATAGCTGAAGTATGTTATTTAATAGCACGTGAACGAACTATTATTGTTATTATAAATCCCATGCCAGAAGATAAATATCAAACAAAATTTATTCAACAAAAAAATTTTTATAATGAACAAGATAATGAAAATGATTATGAAAATGTTTGTCAAGCAAGAGAAACATTAAGAATATTACTTCAAATTAAAAATGTACCAGTTTTTGATAATGTTAAAGTCGGATTAGAATGTGCAGGATTTTTAATTAAAAATCGAAAACAATCTATGACGAATTGTAAAACTTTCGATGAAGAAAAAACGAACAATAATAATAAAAATGAAAAAAGTAAGCCATTTAATTTATTAATAAAAATAAAAAAATCAATGAATTTTATCTAAACTTCTCATCGCAATTAAAAAAAAAGCCCTTAGGGCTTCTATTGTGGGAGAACTACCAATATGACTTGTGTAGATAACATCAAGAGAAGACTCATACACCTATATCATATCATAATATTACGAGTAGAAGAAATAGGAATTTGTAATGATATTTAAATACCTGTTACCATACAAAGAAGTGATTACAAGAGTACATTGTGACCATGATTTCACATGTCATGTCGCCTATTACTTTTCAAGACATAATTATTTTTAAGAGACAGAAAACAGCAACAAAAACTAATATTATTTCTTCGGCTCTTTCATTTTTGTATCAAATCAATTTGAGTTTATAGTACCATTAAGTATCTTACTATTTCAAATAAACTTGAATACTTAATAATGAACGTTTGGATATACTTTATTTTCAACATGAGATATTAACTTTTAATACGTCATCAAATGACGAAGACCTACACTATATTTTGCTTGATTGAAATTTGCCATCAGAATTAATTTTAATATAATTTCATGAAAGACTGTAAGTCTAGAGATGTACCATTTCAGTTTACTGACTACCAAAGTCATCGACTCAGTGTAGTTAATGCGCACTTACACCAGTATTCAGTGAAACACAACTACAAAATGGATGTATTTTGATAGCGTTGATGTTTCAATGTTGTAGTGAACGTGGGGATACCAGTGTACCTTGTATCAATGACTCATTGTTGAGTATTTACACTAACATTACACATCGCTACTCACTGTGAACCTAACAATTTTAATTTTAAAAATAAGTTCTAGAATATATTTAGAGAAACATGTGCTTCTTTGTAGTGATTTCTAGTTTACTAATAGCATCCTGAGTGTTTTCTTTTTGAGTGTCGATATAGCTTATTCGTCATGCCTATGCCTTGTTATTCTGGAGTTATTGATGTAAATATAAGTTTTGTGGTAAGAATATGGAGTTGTGACCGTCCGAAGTCGAAAATGTAGTAAAACAGTCGTAATTCCAGAAGAACAAGTTGCATACGGACAAAGCCTATAAGTTGTATTGACCTTCGACCTCTAGTGACAATCTCTTGTTAGTAAAATTAGTAATTGTTAATGATTATCTATTTTAGTTTCTCGTTCATCTTCAAATAAAATTAGTTTTGAATCTCCTGATAATTTTTATCGTAAACAATCTCTATCAGAAATGACTTTATCGTCTTCAGTTCCAGTTTATCGACGTCATAGTGCAACATCAATAACACAGAAAATTCTTCCTTTATCATCTTTAAATCCATTTTTGCGTTCAATTAATTTTACGACTGGTTTTCATTATCATCAACGACCAATTTGTACAAAAACACAAATATCATGTTCAACAAATGAAAGTGATGATGATGGTTATGGTTCATTAATATCTAGTAATCGTACATTATCTCGATCAGCATCATCATGTATAACATCTGATTTTTATGAATGTTCTATTGATCATCAATTTGAAAGTAATTCTTTAATGTAAGAAAATCAATAAATAAATCAAATAATAATATTAATAAAAAAAATTTCATTTAGATTTTATCAGCCTATTTCTATATTAAATATTATGATGTCAATTTTTTCTACATATATTTCATTCGTATGTTTTCCCATATCATCAAATTTATCAATAACACAATCAATTTATAATGTCTGTACAATTTCTTATCTTTTTATAAATCATATTCTATTTTCTTTTATGAAAAACATAATGACATCAAATAAAGAAACTATTCATTTCAATTATCCAATTTATATGTTTGATCTTTATATAGCTTCCGGTGATCATGATGAAATTTGGTTAAATACATATGTATTACCAATTCTTAAAGACATAAATGTAAAATATATAAAACGACAAACATGTGATGATAATGATCAACTTGATCTTGTTTATAACATTTATGTACGTAAACGTTCACGTTTATTATATTATTTAATAAATAATAATGAACGTCTATCAAATCTTGTTAGTGAACTTGCATATCTTATTGGTGAACGTAAATATTATATTATTGTTTATTTACAATCAAGTATTGATGAAAATTCAGATAAAATTTTGACAAAAAATGAACGACAAGATATTGAACGTTCAAGAAAATATCTTGAAGATTTAGCAATAAAAGAAAATATTTTATTGTTTCATTCACGTGAACAAAGTTGCCAACACGTTTTAGCTTTTTTTCTTCAAAATGAACACTAATTAATTTGCTCGACAAGATTGTTATTAGTTTGTTATAAAAAAAAAACACAACACAACAATTGAATCAAGTTTCTTTTTTTTTTTATGATGGGTGATAAATAACCAGAATAAAATGTTTTTTCATATCTATATGTTTATTTTACGTTTATTTTTAATAAAAAAAAAAAAAAAACTTTGTCTAAAAAAACCCATGTTCTTATGACAATGGTCAAGTATTCTAGCATATTTCTACTTAATAGTTTCTTTTATAGATTTAGATAACAAAAAAAAAACACGATACTAATAAAATAAAATGTTCATATCAGACTACATACAAATGTGATAGAGTTGATATTCATATACTCATAAAAAAAAATGTCATTTAACCTTGGTACAGCAACACCACCAATCGATTCGAACAGTCATGTAGAATATTTTACTAAATCTAATCATCCATCGTATCTAATTTCAAAATTTTTATCTTATCTCCAACAAGGATTTCTTTGTGATATTATTTTTATTTATGATAATGGAAAAATAAAACGACAAATAATTGCTCATCGTCTTATTATCTCGATATTATCTGATTATTTTCATAGTTTATTTGAAAATCATAAACAAATTGAGATTATTATCAATGATATTGATCCAGATATTTTTGAAAAAATTATACTTTATGCATATGAAGGTAAAATTTATTTTATAATATAAATTTATCTGAATTGAAAAATAAATATCCCCTAGGTCATATTGAAATTCATTCAACTAATGTTACTAAAATTCTTCATATTGCACATTTATTTCATATAACTGAAATAATTGAAGCATGTTGTAATTTTATTAAAAAACAAATTCAACCATCAAATTGTTTTGGTCTATATAGATTTGCTTTAAAACATAATTTACAAGATTTAACACAAACTATTTGGAATTATATTCTTGTATGGTTTTTTTTAATTTCTTCTTTCTTTTCAATATTAAGTTCTTTTTTTCTTTCTTTCAGGATCATTTCTCAATAGTTATTCAAAATAATCATGAATTTCTTGAATTATCTTTTGATGAAATGAAACAACTTTTAGCATCTGGTAAGTAAATTATTTTGATGATAATAAGAAAGAGAAATTATAGTTATAAAGTAACAGACAGCAGAAAAGTTATCTGGTGTTCACTAACAGTAACGATGGTCTTACAAATTACTCAATAAATGAGAAAGTTACGAGTTCGCTTATTGAGTTTGATCAAAAGTTTTCGTGATCGAAGAATTCAATTCTCGTTGAAATTTTTCAGTTTCAGTTTTTTTTGCACGAATTACCGATAGAATCGGAACCGGAGAGTTGTAGATCAAACTTTATAACAAATCCATATTTCTACTAAATAGGATTTTCTTAATGAAAATATTATTTTAGATAATATCAATGTTCAATCGGAAGAAATAGTTTATGAAGCATTTATTTCGTGGCTTGATTATGATTTAAATCGACATAATGATTATTTAGCAAAATTATTTTATTTAATTAGATTACCTTTAATCAAAAGAAAAGTATGATCAAGAAAATTTTATTATTAATTATTTTATTTTATTTTTTTGTAATAGTATTTGATAGATTATATTGATACAAACAAAATATTTGAAAATAATAGTTTATGTCAAATGTTGATTATTGAAGCAATGCGTTACCATTTAGTACCAGAAAAACGTTTAACTATGAAAACAATAAGAACAAAACCAAGAAAATCAACACTTGGTGTTCTTTATTGTTTTGGTGGAATTAATAATACTAAAAGTAAGAATAAAATTAACAATATGATTTTATATTTTAATTTAAAAAATTAGATTTACAAACTATTGAAAAATATGATTTTCGAACTGATTGTTGGCAAATAGATGACCAATGGAATAGTCGACGTTCTCAGTTTGCTTGTATTAGATTAAATACAAAATTATATATATGTGGAGGTCGAGCTGGTCTTAAAACGTTTGTTGATATTTTTTATTAAGTTTTTATGAATGATTGATTTTATTTTTAGGTTAAATAGTATTGAAATCTATGATTTTCAAACAAAAATTTGGACTATTGGATCACCAATGCTTACTAATCGTTATGATTTAGGTATTGAACATATTGGTGGTCCTTTATATGCTATTGGCGGTCATAATGGACAAATTATTCTTAATACAGTAGAACGTTTTGATCCGGACATATCTGAATGGACTTATGTTGCATCAATGAACAATGCACGATATACATTAGGTGTTGCTGTTCTTGAAAATCGGTAAAATTTCTTTTTTTTTTTTAATATGCTTTTAATTTGTCTATATTTCTTTTTTTCTTTAGGATTTATGCAGTTGGAGGTAAAGATGATTCTACAAGTCTTCGAGAAATGGAATTTTTTGATCCACATACTAATCGTTGGTCACAATGTGCATCAATGATAAAATGTCGTGCTAGTGTAGCTGTTGTTTGTTGTAATGAATTTTTATATGCTATTGGTGGTTATGAATTGTTAACAATAAATAAAAATATTATTCGACATGATGATGGTGAACGTTATGATTTAAAATGTAATCAATGGACATTGATTACTTCATTTAGTCGACCAAAACAAGCTTTAGGAATAGCTGTTGTTAATAATAAATTATATATTATTGGTGGTTTTAATGGAAAATTTTTAAATGAAATGGAAAAATATGATACAGAAACTAATAAATGGAAAAAAGTAGAAAATAAATATTATTATTTAATCTTTGATAGGTTATGGAGAAGTTTTTTTTTCTTCTTTTTAGTGTTCTCCATTAAGAACAAAAAGAGCCGGTGCTTATCTTATTCATCTACCTAATTCTATTGATCAATTATAAAATATGCCAATGTTATCTCAAGGAAATAAAAATTCTTCAACTAGTTCTCATCAAAGAAATCGTCTTATTCTTTCATAAATATTTTTTTTACAATTTTATATATCAATTAAAATTTATTTTGTATTTTATTTGATAATAAATATGATTAGATAGTCTTTCAACATAATCTTCAATTGGTCATTTATGAACATTCATCATTTGTCTTTTTATTTGATTAACAGATATTGTTCGTAGTGCATACGTATTCATTGTTCTGATCTTGATATCAACATATCAGTTGCAAAAAACGAATCAATAAATATAGATAATATCTCCAAAAAAATAACAATTACAGTAAAACATCTTCCAATAATGAAAGGTTTCAGATCTGACACAAGAATTTTTGCTAGAAATGTCTCTCTATAATGTCATCATCTCGTTATTCTTAACAATGAACACTTTTGTGCGCTTCTTCTTGTTATTATAACTTCTCTATTGTGAACATCAGTGCAATGTTCTTATGAACCACGAGTGCGTACGTTTAATGAGCTAAAATCAAACTTAAATGGCATCGATATTTACAAAAAAAGAAATTAAATTTTTTGCTGTAGTTGAAAAAATCTTTCAATTCAAAACATTTCGATGAAAACCAATGGACAAGACTATAGATACCTTGATGTTTAATTCAGACCAATGTAAAAGCAGATAATCTAGCATAGTTTTTTCGTTGTATAACAAATCATACACCAACTTTTCAAACTGACCAGCTTCATATAGTGGATGATTTTTAATGATTCCAAGAGGGTATCTCTAAAAACTACGAACATTCACGGATACTCATTATTACTTTGATTTTAACTGTAAAAGATAATAGTGCTCAGCTTAATATTTTATTGTAAGACATCTTGTGTAAGTAAAATTCAAAGTAATAATTGGTGTATGTGTACTATTCATTTTGAACTCTATATGATTTGACAGGTTTCGTGATGTCCGCAGTTTTTTTTTTAAGGAAACTGTATTTATGCTAATAGCATACGAGTAATAATTGTTACTATTGCTCATTTCAAAAAAAAAAAAAGGCTGGTGGATATTTTTCAAACAACTTTTGATAGAAGCAAGATAGAGAGCTGCGATTTTCACTATTGGAAAGAGAAGATAGAGACGCATCAAATTGTATATTACAGAATAATGTGACCTAGTTTTTTCAAAGACTTAAATCGATGTTTTTGAAAACCAAGATACTCCGTAAGATGAGTAAAGTGAATTTTCAATAATCAGTTGTGCATTCGAATCTCTAATGGATGCTCTATAAAATTACACAAGGCTCAGACTTCTAGATTTATTCGTTCAATAGTTATAGCATTCTACTTAAAATTCCGAATCGATTTTTCTATTAATTTCTGTGAACAAAATCATTTTTTTTTGCGTTTTTCTTATTTTATGAGAAACCAATTTTTCGACACTTTTTTAAGAAGATTGGTTACGAAAATTTTAAAAAACATCTTAGAAAAATCTATAATATAAGATTCGATGCATCTTTACCTCCTCTTTCCAACGGTGAAAAACCGCGACTCTCTGTCTTCCTTCTATCAAAAGTTATTCGAAAAATATTCATTCGCCTTAATGATCCTAATACATTAAAATAGTCAACTCATATAGATATATAATTGGTTCCAGAAATCATCATACTTATTATTATACTAATACAGGAACCTCTCCAAGTGTTAAATCGCTTTTCGACTGAGCCGATGTTCATTTGATGAATAATGGATAAGTCTAGAACAGTTTGGTTTTCCAGGCCTTCATTCTCGAAATATCGAAATTTTATTGAATTTTTTAACAAAAAGCTATAATCACGTGAAAGATCGACTTTAAAATTTCCGTCAACAAAGTGCTTAATGATATTAGTTCATGTATACAAATTTTAGCTTTTCTAGTGTTTCCTTTCTACAGATATAAATATATGAACAAAATGTACTTTTACACAAGAGAGAATTGCGAAAAATTAATATCTTAAGATAGAAGATACTAGAAAAGTTACGACCTGCCTAATGAACTGATCTCATTGAGAACTTTGTTCGCGCAAAGGTTGAAGTCAAAACCCGAAAGTCGATTTTTCATTGAAACACTCAGTAAAATTTCAATATCTCAAAAGCGAACACCTGAAAAATTTATTATTCATCAAATGAACATGATATCCAAATAGTATTTCTTCTTGTAAAAATCATTGTTGTACATATTGCATCAAGGAGACCTGCATGTCTTGCACTTTTATCAAATATAAAAAACTTTGTTTGTCTAAAAACTATTTTTGACTTCAAGTCTGAGCCTCGAAAAATTCATCCATATTGGGCACCGCTATGAATATACTTGCAAGAATAATATAAACGATATTTGTTAATAATGAATTACAAATATTTGAATGTATATTTATCAAGCATATCCAATCATACCAAATATTAGAAAAATATTCGTTCGAAATGACTAAAAAAACCAAAGCACGATAACGAAAACAAAAAAACATCTTTGTCCATCTATAAATCATTGAATATTAGACAACAAAGAAGAATCACAACTATAACTAAACTCAATATGCTGAATTCTTTTTTTGAAATTATAAACAAATAATTACATATCAATAATCTCGTATTTAAGTTCTTTCAAACAAATCTCATCAATCATAATATCATCAATTATTTTTAATTGTTCACTAATTGTATTTGCAGATTGTAAAGTAAATTTTGCTGATAATAAACCACATGCAATAGCTCGATCAATATTATTAAAATTTGTTTTTAATAATTGATTCATAACACCTGCAGCAAAACTATCACCAGCTCCAGTTACATTTTTAATATTTTGTTGTTCTTTATCTGTTATTAAAGCTTGATATTTTTTTAATTTTCCATTAATACATATTAATACACCATCAGAACCCATTGTTATACAAATTAATTTTAAATTAGAATTTTTTTTAAATAAATTTTTTAAATAAAATTCTATTGATGATGATGATTCTGTAATTGCTTGAAATTCAAGACGATTACAAAAAAGTACATGAATATCTTTTAAATATGAATTTATTCGTCGAGCTTTATTTGGACCACCAGCTGAAATAAATACTAAATATTTTTTATATTTATTACCAATATCTATTAAATATTTCATTGTTAATTGACTTAAATTTGCATCAAACATAATCCATTGACTATTAATTAATATTGAAAGATTTTTATCTAAAAATGATGGTGTTATTTGTCTTTCATATATATCCATATCACCAAAACCACAAATAAGTTCATTTGTTTTGGAATCAAGCAAGGAAATATAACTCGCTGTTGATTCATCTTCAATTTCATGAATAAGAGTTGGAGTTGAATCATTTGTTGTTAATAAATTTGATGTACCCGAGACAGTAAGAAGTCGAATAGAATGATTTCTTAGTAGATGAAGAGCATGTGTAACATTATATGCCACTCCACCTAAATTTTGTCGTAAACGACAAGGAATAGTTGAACTGTTATGTGGTGTAAAATCAGCATTAAGTTGAATATGTAAATCAATATTTCGTGCTCCAATAATAACTTTATTTATTTGAATAATAAAATGTATAAATCTTTGTTTGATTTTTTTTTTCTATTATAACAACTTACTTAAAGAAGATGAATGTGATTTAATTGATGATAAAGCAACAGCAATTTGTGATGCAATACGAGCATTTTTATAGATTAATTTTTGATTTGTTTTTATTGATTTATTACCCGTTTGACGACGAATTTCACTTAGAACAAATGGTGTTACTTTATTACCGGTTATTTTTTCTTTTGTAGCTCGTTCAAGTGATTCACGAATGATGGCTTCAATTTTTTCTCCACCACCTTCTTCTAATTCATCTTCTTTATCAATAGGAACAGCAAGTAATAAACCAGAATCAAGTTTTAAATCAATCATACTACGAACAAGTCGTGCTGCTTCATCAATACTACGAATTGCTGCACATGAACGTGATCGATATTCATTTGTTCGTGTAAAAAAATTTGGAAATTCATCTGTATCACCAAATGTATAAACTAAAACAAAAACAAAAAAAAAGAATTAATCATATAAATAAATTTTTTTTTTTTTCATTTAGAAAATTACTTACCTCCAACACCTTTTGTTTCAAGATATTCAAGTGTTTTCGGAATATCAAGAATTGATTTAACACCACTAGAAATAACACAAACAGGTGTACGTCCTAATTCATCTAAATCTGATGATATATCACCAGTAATTATTGAATCTCGATGAACTCCACCAATACCACCAGTTGCAAATAATGGAATACCACAAAGATGTGCAATAAGCATTGTTGCTGCAACTGTTGTACCAGCTGATGCTTGACGAGATATAAGATAAGGTAAATCACGACGTGAAGCTTTTTCAACATTATTCAATGTACCAAGTTGTTCTAATTCATTTTGTGTAAGTCCAACTTTAATTCGACCATTTAAAATAGCAATTGTTGCTGGTATTGAACCATATTCACGAATAATTTTTTCAATATGTAAACATGTTTCAATATTTGATGGTCGAGGTAAACCATGTGTAAGAATAGCTGTTTCACATGCAACTATTGGACGATGTTCATTTAAAGCTAATTTTACTTCAGGATTAATATCAAATGTATGTGTACTGAAATAACGAATATGACGACAATGAAATGATGATAATAATAATAATCGATGAACATTTAACATATTGTTTAATTTCGTATTTTTATAACATGCACTCAAGTTTTTTTTTTTTGTCTTTCTTGACACTTGTTGAAATGAAAGATAAGATAGATAAAAGTTTGTCGAAAGCAAAAAAAAACAAGACTTCACATTACATATTAATTCAGTATGATATTAGATAAATAAATGTGTTACTATCACTTTAGAATAGAGACAAACTATAGATAACTTCTTTAACTCAAGAAAATTTGTCAAATACATGTTTATTGTAAGATGATAGTATTCAATAAATTTTAATTGATGTGAAAGCGATAAATAGAGGAAAATAAATTGAAGTATATTAACTGATGAGCAAAATAAGAATGTAAGTGTATATTTATCTATTCTATATTTCTAATCTATGGAGCATATCAATGACTAGAAATCATTTAATTATCATTATAAATTATATGGATTATAAGTTAGATTAAAGTTCTTTGAGAATATACAAATGTTTTTAAAAGTTTGATGTTTGACATCATTGATTGAAAGTGTAATATTTTCTCATTGAAAATGTTTATAAGAAAATTTAATTTATTTCATTATTATTATTTTAGATAATGATTAACTATACTAACATATCATTTATATGCATTTAATGATATTATCTATAAAGAGATGATCTTCTATGTAGTCGACTATATTGAAATGTGATTTGCATCTTTATTAGCCTTCTATAAATTCATATTTCGATCTTTCACTAAGTCGATTGATTTGAATAAAAGAAGCATTAGATCGATGCTAGTCTTAGCAACTGAGTATCATTTAAGTATTAAAATCAACATTAAATACATCCTATCAATTTTAACCCTTTCACAGCGGAAAATGTATTTAACTACGTCTTGAGTTTTTGTGCAGATTTCAACTTGTACGATCATCTATCTTCACTAAACCATAACAGTATTCTCTCTTTCTCTTAAGTTATTTGTATCACAGAGAATCGTCGTGTGGTACCATTATGCATGTATATCAAACAAAAATAAGGAATTTTGGATCCGAAAGTACTCGAGAATTTATGGAATCGCATACCCAAAGTCTTTAAGAACAATATAGAGCCCAGTAGAGTTCTGTAAAATTCCGTGGGATTCCAGAACCATTATTGTTCGATGAAGCTATTGCTATTATTGAAACTCGAATGTCATAGATGGAATCGGTTTGAGTTGGCCAGATCGAATCGACCGATGACTAGTATCGATTCCACCCGTCTAATGTTACAAATCATCAGATATTAGATTTTATGAGATCTATATTATGATATAGTATTCCAAAGGTTTTCATGAAACCACCTGCAGGATTCTATAAGATTTTGCACTATTTCACTTGACTTTGCAATTCCAGAATCTCATGAAATTCGATGATTCTTCACGAAATCCGCTGTTTCTGTTGGCGTATATGTCATATTACAAGCTTTTATGAAACATAAATCACAATTTTTGCATCTCGTAAAAAAATTTCATCGCCATTGGGTTAATATTGCTCTTTTTTTCTATTATGAGCCCTCTGTTTGACAAATATATAAAAATTTATCGATCAAAAAACATGTTAATTTTCAATTACTTTTTTTTACATGGTAAAATCATTTATTTCAAACTTTTTTTCCAATTAATAATTTTGAATAATACAATTAGAATTACGTTTAATATCAACTTGACCATCAATACGAGATGAAAGAATTTCATAATTCGATTTTCGAAGAACATAAAAATCGATATAATCTTCAACAAAGCTCCAACTAATATCATCAACTCTTACATATCAATTATAAATTTTACCATCTAAACAAAAAAAAACCTATCGAAAAAAGTTTCTCAGGATAGTAAATTTACTTACTTGGCAGTAGAATACCATTCAATTCACGAACAAAAACTTTACTTTCATATGGTATATCATTTGTCGCTATGAATCACAAGAAAATAAATAACTATTTAAATAAAATAAAAAAGAAATTTAATGACTTATCAATACTTACGTATAGTTGAAGTGCGCCAGTACGAAGACGCCCACTACATTCCGTTTGTAATGATTTCCAATAAGTTTTTGAAATTTTCGCAAGAGTACCACTGCTACAACTTATCAAATCATGATCTGAACTAACTGGATAATCTAAATAGAAAAAAAACCACCAATAATTCGTTAATGTTGACGTTAAATGCATTCATTAATCTTCTTCAAAAGCAACCTAGTAATATGTAAATCGTACATTTTTAACCGATACACAACAATCAAGGACAGTAGACATCAAACATATTAATGTTAATGAGTGCATTTTATCAAATTAATGTTTTTTATCCTTATCAAAAATTAAAAACAACGGCCTGTAGTAACTGTTTAGTTTATTTATACACTATTTTGATAAGAAAATATAATATTTCTAGTATTTATTCTAGTATTACCGTTAAATACCTTTCAAATAATGATAGGCAATAAAAATTTAATCATCTTTATAAATATTTTATTCTTTCAAAAACATGCCAAAAATATATATATCTATATATGACTACAAAAATATTGGTTAATCATATTCACAAGAGTTTTCGTTCATTGAAAAATAAGATGTTTCCATGAAAATATCTTTTTCATATAGAAGTGTTCTATAAGTTTTGTCATTATTTATTTTTGTATCTTTGTAATATTCAAATATGAAGAAACAAGGATAATATATATTTACAGAGTAATATCCAAGTTGTCGTCCAAACGAAAATACTACATTGATAAATATATTTTAGAATAAAATTTTCAAATTTATTTCAATGTCATTTTACTATCATTGGGATAAATCGTGCTCATGAACTTACAACAAGTTACCTTTATCGTTCTGTTAATATGAAATTTGATAGTGGACTAGATTTGTCCCTTAGTTTTTTTTATACGCTTATGACTTAAATACGTAAAAGTAAAAAAAATTAAATTGATAACACTTTTTAAATATGTGTACCAATATAGAAGTTTCTTATGAATGAAATATTAGTAGTTATTTTTCAAAAATATATTTCTATGTTTTTTCATCTTTAGATATTGTAAATGATACAAAAAAGGAACGAAATTTATGAGTATATTTTATGTATACATTTTAAAATTTGACCTGAATCGAACTAGATCAAATTAACATAATCGACATATAATATTTATGTGTTCGATTTTGTTTTTTTTGATTCGACTTTCATCCATAGTTCGACATTCACTAATCGAAAATGTGGCGTTTTTGTTGACCTGATCGTATTTTTGAGTGTAAAGGAGTGACTTATGAAAAAAGAAAATAGTAACTAACATAAGAGAAAAGACTATTTAGGATCATTTGTACTAAATCAAGGTAAGGTCAGACAAAATCATCGATCGATTTCTTGAATGAATAAGGTGTGATTATAAACAACCACAAAAGAAAGAGAAAAAAAAACGTCCTGCGAAATTGTCTACGTTAAAATAAACAAGGCAACGACGCATTACCTACCTACATCAAAATCGCTCGTTTTCATCTAAAATATTATTTAATATATTATCGGATGCTTTACACCCTAAAACATATTTAACTGTAGTACAAAGAAAAAAACGATTTATGAAGTTTTGTTAACAAACAAAAATCAACTAAATGTAGACAAAAAGAATTAATATAAAATTGCCTTGAATTCTCAAAGAACAATCGATGAATAATTTTCCTTTTCTTCTTCTGTCGTTATCATCAATAATTTCTATCTTTCGTCGAACACATATCCATCAATATTGATGATTATGTCGTGATCAAACTAGTTTGAGTATATCATGTAACTGTCAAAAAAGAAACTTGATATGAAGGTAAAATGAACATCATAAAACGTTGTCCTTTATTTGATCTTGTACATAATATATTATTATAAACAAAGATTTATTCCGAAAATATATTCATTTAATCATACAAAACTAGAATACATGATTATTAATACTCAAAAAAAAAAAACAACACACACAATTTATTTTCAATAAATAGTAAAATATTATTTTACATAATTGGATATTAAAAAATATAACAAATAATTTTCTCTTTAATCGATATTTTAGTTTATAGTTGAATTTTTTGTAGATGACGTTTTACATGAATTGCTAAATGATCGGAACGAGCAAATGCTCGACCACAATATTTGCAAGGAAATGGTTTTACACCGGTATGCTTTCTAAAAATTAAAGAAGAAAATCGAAAATTTTTGAATTTTATTTCATTGAATATTTTTCTATTTACCGAAAATGTCGTGTTAATTCATCAGATCGTCCAAATTTCCATCCACAATCTGGCCATGTACATGAATATGGTTTAATACCAGAATGTATTCTCTCATGAACACGTAAAAGTGATAGTTTTGAATAACTTTTTACACATTCAGGATATGAACATAAGTAAATTGTATCATTTCCTTGATGTCTATTATTCGATGATGTTTTTCGTTTTGCTTTCAATATTTCTGAACTTTTTTTTAATGAACTTTTTTTAAAAGAATTATTAAATGAATGAAAATGTAATGGTAAAGAATAATTCTGTATGGTAGATGCATACATATCTTCGGCAGAATATGGAATTGGAGTAGGTAAAGGTAATGATGGTATAAAAGGAACTGTTAATTTATCGTCTAATTGATATCGGTTAGAATCTTCTTTAACAATATCGGTAAGATTATCAATATCATTTGTATTTGAAGATGGTAATGTTTTATTATTGTACAAACTACAACAAAATGTCATTTCATTTGTATTTTTGTCTTGTTGTTGTTTCACAAAAACGTCATATGTAATAGGTTCAAAATATTGGTTATCTGGTGGAAAATATTGTCGACAAACAAGCGAAGAATTCAACGAATGATTAATTGGACTTGAAGAAGTTTTTGAAACTGAATGTTGATATGCATATTCATTTAATGATGCTGTTGAATATTGATGGTGAATTTTAAATGGAATTAAATGTGTAAATAAACTACAATCAGATGAACAATTTGATGAAATTGTTTTAATTAATTCATCATTTGTATCATAATTACTATGAATATCATATTGAGAAATATTATCAAAAATATTGAGACTTTTAAGAAGACTTTTTTGTTCATAAATATTAGGTGTTTGAATTGGATGCAATGAATCTTCACGAACACATGTAGTTTCACGCCATAATCGTTCAATTTCGCGTGAATACTAAAATTAATAATAATAATAATAATAATAATAAAATATCACGAATTATATATATTTTTTAAAATTTTTCTATTAAAAAATTAACCTACTTTATTCGATTTTACTGGATTAATAGAAGTATCTGATTTATGGTATTCACCATTAGCAATTTTAGTATGTTTTAAATGAATAAATTTCTTCATAATAATCAATAATCTGTAGTATATTAATTGTTGAATATTTCAATATTATGCATATCAAGTCCTAGTTAAGTAAACAAGCAAATGTCGTTCGATTTACGAGTGGTTATATAAAATGAAAAAGAAAGACAAAAATTCGTATATATACCTTTGTCTGTATAATGAGAATGTCAATGAAAATGGATTTAAACGCTTTGTTAGAGAATACAAAACAAGATTGGCCAACGAAGCGTTATAGTTATCTATCATTTTTCATAATACAATCCTTATCTATATTTGATATAATTACGTTGACGTTGATGTTTTTTCAACTTGTGTACACCTTGATGAACAGAAAAAAAAAATGCGTTTCTTATGATTAATAGTCAGACATACTTTTTTATGTTCTGTTCATACGCATCGAAATATGTGTGTGTTTTTTTTTGCTTTTTTTTTTTTATTCATTTTCACCTTGGTGTCTGTCATTAAATGGTAACATTAGCAAGGCTATGAGGACGCTTTACTCGATCCATATATCATCATAAATCAACCATTTATAATAGTAATTTTGATGCTTTATAAATATTTGCAAAAAAAAAAAAATACAAAACGCAAGTGCTTAATGACCTGCTATAGAAGCTCTTCGACTTGAAATGAAACTTTTACACGTAATAGATGATTTTTCTTGAAGAAACGATGTACCGAACCTTATATAAGATCGTCTCTCTGTTAATTAATTAACTTCTCTCAAAAATTTGAACTTTAATTAATATATTGTCTTTAAAATAGATCTTATTCTCAGAGATTTTTGAACTTAAAAATCTAGAAAGACTAAGATTAATATGTTTTCTATGCTTTTGAAACGCTCCCAACAACTCTATTCCCAAATTCTCAAAATCTCTGTTTTTTAAACTATTTCAATTAAAAATTATGAACATAAACAAAACACAATAGGCGATCATGAGTCTTGTATTATGTTAAGGAGTTTACTTTCATGATGGCCGCGAAAAAAGATCCTTCTACTTGTGTTTGTTTTATGCTTCTCAATTAAAGATGTAGAATTTAAAAAAACCTACTTCAAAAAAAATGAATACAATTGGATGTATTTCATAAAAACCTATTTTGTAATAGTAAGACGAATTTTTTTTTCGATGATCAACTGAAAATGAAAAGATTTGAATAAGAATTAACCCACCAATTAATTTCAATAATTATTTTTGTTCACATATGAAATGAGCTAGTTAACAAAAAAAGCCTCAAAGATAATTACACTACACGTATTCAGAAGTCACTATAACCCGTTCGTGTATATTTACGTAAGACTGAATGTTCTTTTTTCAATCCAATCAAGTGTATTTACATCGATACTATTGTGCATATATATTGTCGATTGAAAGTTAATCACTAATAATATTCATTAGAATAAATCAAACAATATATAGATGAATAAGATAATATGCAAAGAGCAGTCAACAATAATAAGAATGTTTGATCAAACGTAAAAAGTGACAGAATATGTACAAAGGTATGCAATTGTAAAATAAATATAGAGCAAAACAACGTTTATATTAGATAGATTACTCAAACTTTGTGCATTCAAAAAAACAATTCATCTTGTATAGAAAAATAATTATGGAATATTTTGTGATTTATTAACATAACCTTACAAAATCTTTTCGATGATTAAAATATTCAATTACCAAAGTTCAAAGAGTTTATTATTAATAATTCATGAAAAATAAATTCAATATATTCTAGCAATGTAATAAAAACAATTATTATTGATTGATAAATTTTGAAAGTTTTAAAATCATCATTTTAATATTTTTATTTCTAGAACATATTCAATTTTAAAAAGATTATAATTCAAATAAAATATATTGTTAATTTTAAATAATTTTCAAATGAATACTTTCTTGAAATTGTCGGATAAAGAAATACGACATTATTTCATTATTTAATCTATCAATATGGCTGAATCGTATTCCATTTGTACAATTGAAACGAAAAAAAAAAGAAAGCTATTAGTGGAAGTCTTGTGAGATTAAAATGTAAAACACGATGTAGCTGTTCTTGCTAATTACAAGGAGACTGTTTTATTGTATCCATTTGAGGACATATTTCTTCATCATCACTTTAAGTATTTAACGCCCCTTCCTCGGTCAAAAATCTATTTTTATCCCAGAACAATTGATCTTGTTGAAAATTTCAGAAAATATGTGTGCGAGCCTAGAAAGCTTAAAGTAAAAATTTTAGCTCAAAATATTGAGTTCTTCAAGAATTATTCCTATGTCAAGAGCTAAAAAAGCAGATGTTCGTGTGTCCTAGGTTTCTCTTCCATATTTAATCATACAAATTTCGAGTGGGCATCAAAATGTAGTCAACACTTGCTGCTACAATTTAACAGAGTCCAATTTTTTAAAATTCTTTTTTGTTAATTTTTCGTGTCAGCTTTTGTCAAAAAAGAAAAAGTCCAGCTCTGTTAGGTTGTCAAGCATAATTTTTTCTTCAATTTAAAACCTTTCTGAGCTTTCTAGCATGTAAAATGACTGAGAAATCTGTGATGTACGGACAAAAAAAACTCGTTTTGAGCAAAACGCCACGTGAAGTTAAACTTTTGAAATTCAGATTTTTCCCTTTGTAGAATGATTCATCAGAGACTATATGAAGGGGATGCATAAAGTGCACGTGTTAGAGCATGCGCTGTATATTTCTCCAAGTCAAAAGCCTATAGACAATGTCTCAGGAGTTCAAAAACTGGAATTTACCAAACATTTCCTGCTTTTAAATTTTTCACAAAATCGTGAACGAACCTACTAGAAAACCTCTTAAAACCATTATAAACACTCAGAATAATAGTGATTCCGAAAGTAGAAAATGTTGGCTGTCCGACTATGTAGAAAGCTCAAAAGTCGACATTTTTGACAGAGGGCGTCTTAATCCTTCAAAAATGCAGTAAGGATGTAGTTTATATATTATAACGAGACGTTATTCATATATGGTCTATGATTAGCCATTTGTAGGGTGTTTGTCATGCCTATGGTGATTCATCACTAAGATGTCTGTTGCATATGTGCGGGGGTTGAAGAAGGGTGGGTTTGACTTTCTACCTCTACACTTCAACATTCCGTTTAGACCGCATTTCATAAAAAATTATACATGTATTTTCATGATATTTAGCCAAAATATTTTGTTATTTTTAATAGATTAGAGCAAATTGTCATTCGCTCGATCCAGATGGGTTAGATATATCGAATGATATCTATGTTTAAACGTCAAAATATAATCAATAAAAATGTTATGTCCAATACATTAACGAAAAATGATTATTTACGAAGCAGAGTATATTTTCTATAGCTGTTTTTTTCTTATTCAGCAATAGTTCGTTCTGAAAAGTATACTATTAGATCGGTCTACCAATGACAAACAGAATGGTGTATAATAAGTTCATAATGAACTTTCATTTGATTGAAATCTTCAACATTTCATATGACAGGATATTTCATATATGTCCGGCTATTATCTCAGCCCTCGAACTTGACAATGAACTGATTTTTTGTACGACAAATAGGAAACGAAGAGAGTAAAAAGATATAAATTTCACATAAAACAGTCAATCTAATTAAGAAATATTTCAAGTCACAAAAACTTGTTCCTACCGGTTATTTTCATTTGAAAATCGTTTCAAGTTTAACCAACATATTTCTGTCAAGAAAAAAAATCATATTTTGAGATGATAGAAGAAAAAAAAGACAAAGTATCTCTCAAGTCGATATTTTGCATGTATCTATTAAATGTAGTTTTCTTTTTCTTCTTTTTTTTTATAGAAAAGTAAATCAGAATCTGATTCTCTGAATTTTTTTCTACCTTAATGCAATGAAGAAAATGCGAACATAGTTTTTTTTTCTTAATTGAAACAATTTTTTTCTTCATCAAAAGACGGCACCAATTTTTGTTGTTTTTTTTTTCACTTCCAACAAGTATAACTTGAGATAGGAGTAACATAGACTGCTGAAAATTACAGAAATATAGAAAACTATTGAGAGGAGTATTCTATGAAATTTTCAAGTCACTCGAAGCTTCTGAACAAGAAATATAAATGATTTAGTATAAATAATACAATTATAGATACGTTTAAGAATATTGAATATGACATGTTTTAATTTACAATGTGTAATATGTTATTTCTATTTAGTCAAATTCTTCATCAAATATCTACAATTGAACTTCATTGCTTGTTTTGTGTTTAATTTGAACTAACAAATAAATTATTTTTCTTTTCAGACTTCCTTATCGTCACCAAACTATCTAAATTTGAGCTCTTTCCACTAATAAAAAAAGTTCATATCCGTCACATGAATTGAAATTAAGATAAGTGCATGGGAGAATAGCTTGATGTCGGATCTTTTTCAAACAATGTGATTTTTTTATTTGGCATGTGGTTTTTTTTTCAGAAAAAAAGCGTTAAATCTCTTTCCGTTTTTCTCTGATCGTGCATCCAAGAATTCTTGAAGAAGAAGGCTCGTTGTAGCAAGCTAAATTTTTTTTTGTTTGAAAAGTTATGCAAAGCTACAGTATCTGACAGGAATCATTTTTTAAATTAAAGTTTTTATTATTATTATATAAAAATGCACTTCTATAAATAGATGACCGTTTTTTGTGACTTTTTTGAGGTCCGGAACTTGTCTTTCTTTTTCTCCGCATACAAAATAAGAATTAGAAAAAAAGATGTTGTCACGCACTGCAATCTGACATACTTTTTTTTTCAAACGAAAAAAGAACTGAATATGCAGAATGAAGACTAATAGAGAATTTTAGATTGTCAAATGAGCTATTTTTTGTTTTTATTTGATGAATATCTCCTGAGAATGTGATGGTATAGGCCTGAAAATTTTAACATAATTTCTTCACTATATTCTCAATATTTTCTGAAAATTTCATATGATTTGAATATACCTGATCCAAGATCGATTTTTGAAGATGAAAAAAGAGGCCTTAAAAATGAGCTCAATATCGAACTAACTGCTCTGGTATTAGATATCGTTCTTGTATATTTCTAATAAGCGAAAATTTTTATCATACAATAGATTAAACTTCGACTATCCCATTTATTCTCTTGAAATTTAGAATTTCTTTTATATCGATAGACATTATTCTTAATTTCATTATATAACAAGAAATTCTTATCTCATGAAAAAAATATATAAGTTGACAAGTGATTTGCAAATATGTTCTCGATTGAAAATGGAATTCAAAAATATTGATAAAATAAATAATACGATTTATTGTAAGAATAGGAGAAAAGAATTATAAATAAATATGTAAACTATACTTCCTATGGAAGAAATATACACTGGCTAGCAAAATGACTCAATAAAGTTTGTCTTCAATTTTTTTTTTCGTTATCTTATTCGCTTATCTATTCGAATCATTAAAAAAGTAGAAAAAAATTGAAAATAAACTTTATTGAATCATTTTGGTAGATATTGTATCTTTCATGGAGAGAAATTTCATGTTTTTCAACAACACAGAGTTCTTCAAACTTTTACTATAGACTGTGAACATGAAATGATTTACTGCTTATACATTATTGAAAGTCACTATAACAATAAAATAGATTAATAAATTGATTGAAATCAAATTCTAGTTAGAATTAATAGACCACAGAGATTAAAACATTTGCAAGAATTTGTTTAATGACTATTCAAAATAAAATTTTCAATTTTTCTAAACAATTTTAACAAAAAAAAAAAATCAAATGCTCGATGTTATTTTATATAAATATTGCATTAATAATTTTATTTTCTTTTTCTCATATTCTCTTATTCAAATAAATCTTCTTGTCGATATAAAAAAAAAAATAAACAAAAAGAAAAAATAATATATGTATATAATTATATATATATATATATGCTCATTTTTGAGTTAATAATGGAAGTGATTTGGATACATTAGCTCGTTCTTCTAAATGTGGAGCTGTAATAAAATGAAGTTTTCCAGTTGGTGAACTTGCATATTGTTTTTGTAACCATAAAACAAGTTTACCATCTGTTAAACAACATGCATTTATAGCACCAATACGAAATCGACGTATTAAAATACCATCTGTTGAATGATATAATAATAATTGTTGACCACGTGGATCACATAAAAGATATTGATCATCATTACCAAATGATGTAATTGCTGTAATCCATTTAATATCAGTTTTTATTGATGTATGTTCATTATTGAGTTTCGTAAAATTATGATCAAATAAACAAATAAAATGTTCAAAATGTTTAGCAGATTGAAAACGACGATATACTAATGCAACACGACTATGTGTAACACACATAGCTGCTAGATGACCATTAATATTTGTATTTTGTTTTGTTTGAAAAAAGAATTTAGTATCTTCATATTCAAAATCATCAGTTTTATTAGATAATAAAGGTGGATGAGCATGTTTTTGTATTGTATATGAATCCAAACCAGATTTGTAAGCTTAAAAATGAAAGAAAATAATAATAATAAATTATAAAATATTTTAATTATTATACCATAAAATATAAAACCATCATGTGTACAACCAATAAATCTTGGTGTATATCCAGAATCACCATGTATTGGTTCACATCGATATTTTTTTGCATGTTCTTGTCCTTGTAAATCAAAAAAATACATTCGATGATTTCCAACAAGTATAAGTCGTTGAGAATATTCACACCAAGCACCAGCTAATAATTTATCTTTTTCTGTACCTAAAATTTTTGATAAACGTACACTCATTTCAAGACCTGAACCACGATTAACAATATCAATTGTTGTTGTACTTAATAAAATTAAACTATTGCCTGGTGTACGACGACAAAAAAATGTTTCAAGATAACGATCATTTAATGATATAGCTGTTGGATGTTTACCAATAGAAAATGTACCTTCTAATGGAGTTTGAAATAATTTATATTTACCCAAACGAACTGTTACTGGTATAATATTATTATTTCTTATTTTAGGTTGAAAAGATTCTGTTCGAGGAGCCGTACGAAGTTGAAGAATTTTTTTTGGTTCAAATTTTCCTAATTCAATTAAAGGAGGTTTTGCTTCCGATGCTGATTGACCAAGTGCAAGACGAGCATCTAAACGATGTTGAATATCAATTAGAGTATCTTTATCAATTAATTGATCTTGTTTAAGACATTTATGGAGTATATGAGTATAATCAACAGCTTCTTCACTTGTTAATAATGCAGAACTAAATGTAGGTTTTTTATTTTTGTTTTTAAATGAATGATAAATAACAAAAAGAAAAATTTTGTTTTTATTAATACTTACTCAGTACGTTTTTCTCTTTCTTTTTGTCTTATTTGTAAATTATTTTGAATTTCTTTAATAATTAATTCTTCACATTGTTTAATTTCTGCAATTAAATTATTTACTGTATCTTTTGTACATTTAATAGTTTGTTTAGAAGCACGAAAAAAATTCTCATCTATTTCATCATGTGTTGTTATAGGATCAATTTTACAATTTGTAAGTTGTTGTGTTAAATCATTCATTTGTTTTATCACAGCTGTTCGATGTTTAATACTACATTTACCACAAAATACATCTTTACAATGATCAATACATTGAAAATGTGCCATTGAACTACATTGTGAACATATTTTAGATGATAAACTATAAGTAATTGGAATATTCATAGTAGTTGTTATACTCATTATTGTAGATTTTAAAACTCTCTTGTACAAAGTATTCAACGATTGTCTGAAGAGAGGAATAAAAAAAAAATTTCTCTATTAAAAAATAAGAGGCATAAGAAGCTATTGTTGTTGTTACTGTTCACTTGAATTTTTCTTTTTCTTTTCTTACACTCACAATCGATATGTGTATGTATGTGTTTTTTTTTTTTACTTTTACTTTTTCTTTATGTTCTGTTTCTCTTTTCGTTTTCCGTTTCCACGACGTTTGAAGAGCAAACATACAAAAGTAAATTAACAACGACAAATAGTAACGGAAAATTTTTTTTATATGAAACATATGAACTGTAATCTTTTAAATTTTCTTAAATAAATAAATCATACGAGATATAAGAGTGTTTTATTTTTAGTACACTACAATATACATTGAAGTAAAGATGATATTGGTTGCACGATTTTTTCAAAATCGTATCAATGATGAATGATGTTTTCTTTTTCGGTAGTTTAATTGAGACAATTGCTACTGATTTTTATTTGTCGATGTTGTTTTTCTAACAATAAAAGAGTACGTAAACTAACTCAAGGACATTGGAAATATTCGAATTGAATTAAAAGTCTTACTAGGAAACTAATAAATTTAAAATATAAGAGTATATCGATGAGACTTTAACTTTAAAAACACTTTGATAAAGTAGTTAACCCATTTACTCCTCATAACGGTATCCGAAGAGGCACTTATGAAACGACTGTTGCAATAGAGTATTGGCCTCTTTGATACGGCAATAGAATATATACTAGATTGATCAGGCGTGCTTCCCAGTATGCAGAGTAACCCGACTACTTTGGTTACCATTAGAAGGTGATGATATGAAAAATTCTATTTTTTATTTTTTTTTTGTGAGTAGCTTGTTGATTTCGCTAAAATACAATCTATTTTTATAATTCAACAACACGAATAAAAATAACAACACATGGGCTTCTGAAATCATTTTCTCTGTACATAACATCTGTTTTTCTTGAAGTAAGAGTGTGGAATAGGTTGCATGTCGTTTAACTCTTTTCTTGTCCGACCTTGACAGTTCACGTCAAACATTTATATAATAACAAATGATGCTTGTATTTATAAATAACGGCAATCTTTTGACTTATCTATACATAAATATAAACAAGTATTATGTTTAGACGAGAATGTCTAATTTGTTTTTCATGTCATTGCCCCTCTCCCCAATTGCAACTCCAGTTGTCACTTTATGTCGTACAATCTCTTGTTCAACTAATTCGTGTAAAAATTTTGAAATGTATTTTATTTAATAGCAGCAACTTGTGTCGATGCTTATCACACAGTACATCATCAAGATATATATATCTTGTTGCTATAAAAACAATTAAGAAAAGAAGGTCTTTTTTTTTGATAATCTCATACTCGACATATGTAAAAATCTTTGCTAATTTAACGAAACTTTGTGACGTAAAAATTCGTTAAAAATTTAACGATTAAAAATGTTACAATTTTGATCATGAAAACGCGTTAAAAGAGGAATTTATATCAATACGCACTTATATAGGTGGCATGTAGCTCGAGTGAGAAAGTTAAAATATCACACGTGTGAAAACGAATGCAATGTTTAAGGATATATAATGAGTTAGTTATCATTACAATGACAATCACGCGTGAAAAAACGTGAAAATTGTAACGCGTTAAAACAAATTTTCCAAATCTAACAAAAGTTCATGAAAATTTTCTTCGTGAAACTTCATTAATTTGCTTTTTAAGGCAACTTTTGGACTTAACTGGAGCAATTATTTCGCTAAACTTTTTTTTTATGATGTGGAGCAAAAATGATGATGTACGAAGTACAGAATTACATTCCTTTAGATATAAAATCCATAGTAAATTTTAAAGAAAAAATGAAAGAGGATTATCTTTGTATAGAATTAATTCAAGCGATTTTGCTAGCGATTAATACAAAGTTAAGATTTCTCTAAAGGAGAATTCTGCTTAATCTGATAAAAAGCTTTTGATGTCTGGATTGATATAGTTCACAGACACACTTGATATTTCGTAAATATAAGTCTTTCAAGATGATTTTTCTGTAATGTGCACAAATAAATATGTTACACAAAAAATTCTGAATATTGTACACATGAAAACGATTAGTAAATTGAATGATGGATAATTAAATGACATTCGCTAACATTTAAAATTATCATTAAAACTCGTTAAAATATTTCACTCGTGAAAACAGTTACTAGATTTAACGAGAATCAATCAGTTAAGTTTCGTGAAAAATGCAAAAATTCATGAAAACGCGTTAATATGTTTAACGCATGAAGATGAATACTAAATTTAACGATATTCAATATGGTAAGATTGGTTAAAAATAAAAAAACTCAAGAAATATCGTTAAACTTCTTAACGCGTGAAAATGAATGCAACGTTTAACGATACATAATGGATTAGTTGCAGGTAAAGCGACAATCACGCGTGAAAAATCTAATGCATTCGCACAAGTTTTCGGAATATAACGAAAGTTCATAAAATTTTCTTCGTAAAATTTCGTTAATTTGTCTATTAACGCATTTTTTTATGTTAATTTTAAGAATCATTTCGTTAAATACCCTTTTATTCTTACATGAGAAGGAAATCGTTTGGATGAATTGAATGGTCCAATCGATGTGTTGATCGACAAAGAGACATCTAGTCTCGTTATCTGTGATCGAAACAATCGACGAGTTCTACGATAGTCTTGTGATAGTAGCACAATGCAAGAAGGAATCCTTTTCGATAACATCAGGTGTTGGGGATTGGTCATGGATGATCAGAGATATTTCTGTATCTCTGACACCGGCAAACATAAAGTAAGACGATACAATATTAGAGACAAGAATAGAACTGTCGTAGTCAGTGGCCATGACAAAGGTGATGATCTCGATCAACTCAACTGGTCCACCTACCTCTTCGTCGATAGACAGCAGACTGTCTACGTGTCAGACAACTATAGTCATCATGTGATGAAATAGGATAAAGATATAACAGAAGGGATTGTTATCGCTGACGATCAAGGCAAAGGGAGTTCTCTAACACAATTGTCGAGTCCTAAAGGACTATTTGTCGATACGTTGGGTACCCTGTATGCAGTAGATTGTATGAATGGTCGAGTGATGTGTTGGTCTAAAGAGGCGACACAGGGCACTGTCATTGTAGGTGGAAATGATGAAGGAAAACGAGCAAATCAGTTCAACAGTCTCCAATGTTTGTCCTTGGATCGACATGATTATCTCTATATCGCCGATGCTTGAAACTATCGAGTTCAACGATTTTCAATAAAAACCACAAATCAACGTGATTCATTTTTTGCTCCCAACAATGAAATCAAGTTGAATAATAAAAAAAAAGCCGCGCAATCAGAAAATACCGCGGTGACCTAAGGGGCCTGTGCACATGGGGTAGACTTATATACACATGATAGTATATGAGTGTGAGTGTAGGTGAAGGAGGGACTAACATCTACACTTAGCCTGATGCGAAAAAAGTATAATAATAAAGAAAGAATGAATATTTTCGAAAATATCTGTTCTTTCTTTCTTCCTAGCCATTTTTGTGTTAGTGCGTATAAATTTTTGTTGCATCAGATTCTTTCTCGTGAAGATGACAAGAGATACTCATCGAAAACTCCAGATAGAATAATAACTCATTTAAATAAAAAAAAAATCTAAAAATGTATTTCATTGCACTGAGCTACATTTATTTCGTTATTTATTGATAACCGTATCAACAAAATTTTGTGTTGTCTTTTCTTAATCCTCAAACCATAAAACGACGGAGGAAAGAATTGTAAAATACGATCATAATTAAGAAAGTCAATTTTTTGAGTGTGAACCGAAAGTTTGAAGGATTATGATCCATACTATTTGGATTTTCATAAGAACTTTTTGTAGACTTTCGAATGAAATAATCAAAGTCTAAAATTTCTCTGCAGCCCACTCCTGCTTACGTGGATCAGTATTTTAGCGGACTCCCTCTTCAATTTGGATCAAAATGATGTTTAATATTTGAATAGCCATATTTTTATTAAAGAGAAAAAAAAGACAAGAAAATTTTTCAATTAACTAAAACAATATCATCATTCTCCATTTGTTCTTTTTCATTTGATAAAGATGAATTTGATTGAACATCTAATAAATTCTTATTATTAGACTGATATAATTGTTCATTTGATCGCTGATACAAACTATTATCTTTATCATTCCATGTTAAATTTGACATAACAAATTGTGTATGTTGAGTTTTTATATGATGTTTTAATGAATCTTTTCGTGAATAACGTTTACCACAAAATTGACATTCTATAAAAATAAATTGATTTATATTTAAGAGAAAAATTGTTTTTTTTTTGCAACTAACCAACTTTCCATATATCTTGTGAACTATGTGTAATATAATGTCGATTAAGACCTGATCGATTAACATAAGAATTAAAACAAAGTGGACAACGATATTGTCGTTTGCCATCAGAATGAATTATTTCAACAATTGAATCAGTTAATTTTGGTAAACCAAAACGTGTTATACGTGTTGAACTAGATCTATCATTATCATTAATATAATCTAATAAAATTAAAAATTATCATAGAAATTTTTATTTTAAAAAATTTTTACTTATTTGATTAGAATTTTGTTGTTGGTGCTGTTGTTGTTCAATAGTATCAGGTGGAATTAATTGTTCAAGACTTTGTAATTCATCAAGTTTTCGTTGTTCACAATTATGTAATTTTGTTTGATCATTATTATAAAATTGAAAACAATGTTTACAAAATATATAACCTTTTTCATGCATTGAATAATGATTAAGAAATGTTTCATGTGTATGTAAACGAATTTGACATTGATTACAAAGAAAATATTTCGATGAGTTATGAAGTTTAGTCGTATTGATTTTATATTGTTTTTCATTTTCATCGAATTCATCTGTTTCAATAAGATTATCAATTGTAAAACGAAATGTATATCGATGACCACATTGACAAATAAATATTTGTGATGTATTAATTAATGATTTTTCGGAATTTTCCGAATGAAAATATTCAAATTTTCTAATATTTGAATAACTAGAAATATTTAAACGAGATTTAAGCCAATTAAGAAATTGATTTATAGAATTTTTATCACTTTGTTGAAGAAATTGTTCAATATCATTACATAATGAAAATACATTTGCCATTGAATTATTTGAATGATTCGTTGATTAGTTGCTAAGGATATCTTATCCAAGAGCTAATGGAAAATAGTGGAGCGAAAAATAATTTCTTTTTTCTTTTTAATTGATTTTTCCACAGGGATAAATTCTATGATTTCAAATAACATAAACAATGAAGTTTATACTAAATGCTAACTTGTTTAAACATAGAGATTTTTGAATATATAATTAGTAATTATCGGCTATAGAATAATGGAATTTTTTCAAAATTGTAGACATACAACTGGTTATCTTTATAGGCGATTAATAAAGTTAGATGACACGTTGTCAAAGAAAGAAAAGTATTGAAAACACAATATTGTTGAAAACTTTCTAATCTGTACCAACAAAAAAAACCTCTATCGCATACAAATAGTTTATTCATTCTATTACATTATTGTTGAAAAATTCCTTCCCATGTGCATATATGTCAATTTTTGTCTTCTTTGCGTCATGATCCAGACTACTGCTTCTATTTTTGTTCATCAAAATATCTTTCTTATGTTATTCATCCATAGTTTATTTTTCTTTCTAAAAGCATATGTGGCCATTAAATTATTTGTCGTGATAAAGTATTTACCTTATTCATCTTTCGATCTCAACAGGCATCGTGTTCGCAAAAGTAACAAGGGGATGCGTCTTTTGATGTATGATAATTATCGGTATAAGATAAATAAAGTAACTGTGAAAGTTAAGTATTAGATTTACCAATAGTGTATGTATAGTGTTAGTATTCATACAGATTCCTGATAATCAATCTATTAAAAGTAAAAGTAATTGTAACAGTCATTTACCATTCTCATAAGAGATAGAATGGCGAACATTGAAAAACATCCTTTACAAATGTAAACTTATGGATAAAGTAAGTAATGGAGAATTCCCAGTAATCTCAGTCCGTATGCAATATTTTCGACGTTTTTCAACTGTATCATTAATGATGACTATGTGAGCTGCAAAGAAAAATTTCCCGTCTGTCATGGTTGATGATTTTGATAAGTTTATTTAAAAATTAATATACCAATGGCAGTACTAAGATCAAAGTACTGTCAAACTCGAGTCATTAACTTTCTATAAATTATGTTTTCATTATATGAGACCATTATCGCATAGATCTTCACTTCATCAATAGCTGTAATTATGAAGTTTTTATATGAAATATTTGACTAGAGTATATAATTCACTGAAGAAAATCTCAAGGCAAATAGTTGAAAATAAACTCAATTACGAGTTTTGCTTTTCACAGAATACCATCAACTCTCATGCTAGGAATAAACTTCATAAATCAAGCAAACTACAATCGTTTAACACGAAATATTTATCGATCATAGAAGAAACATTGAGCTCTCAAAAAAAAGGTCAAATGCTGCAAGATTTCTTGCCACCATTAAGATATCCTTGTTTGAAGAAAAAAGTTTATGTTGACCTTCTAGCTCCTTTGAATGAATGTTGATCAAGTCCTGGATGTTATCTGCGATTAAGATTTATTGTTCTCTATTAATCGCCAAAATATGTAATCCAACGAGTTGCGTTTAGATACTTTTTAACTGGTATATTAGAACTTTTCCACTAAAATAAAATGCATCGATCATGACAGTATCGCAGGCTCTAGCATGAAAATGTATCATAGTTTATTGGCTAACCATTTATTCATCATTTTGTTTTGCATGTGCATCTACATATAACCGAATCGGTTGAACATACGTAACTTTACGCATTTTCGTATATCTTTTACTCTAGATTATTTCTCGATTAGTCATTGTTCGAGAACAAATTGAGAAATTGATCGATGCTCACGAATGAACTGCCTCAAAGTGGTCTGATCGACGTCAAACCCATTTGAGTGAATCAGGTCTTAAGATATTATTGTATTGGACTCCAAGAATAGATATTACTAATTTCAATTAAATTGGAAAAGTTAGTCACATTCTTATATCCCTAGACAAAAAAAAATAGCACAACGTACTCTGTATATATTATGAAAATAATAATAATAATAATAATAATAATGAGAAAATTTAGAAAAGAAAAAATATCCTGAGATGTATGACAATATTTATTTATTAATTAATTTTTATTTGACTATCACTGTTTTATAACAAATCTATTGAAAGACATTTTGTTTTAATAAACAATATACATTAAGGAATGTAAATCTAATATAATTGAAGAATATCATCAAAAAGTGCTTTGGCTGTATGAGCAATATCAACAGCATATTCACCCATTTTATCATAATTTCGTTGACGAACTGTTTCAATTAATGAAACAACTAAAATGGAAACATGACCATAACGTTGTTCAGACTAAAAATAAAATAAAGAAAATATTTAATTAATTATTAAAGAAAAAAAAAATAAACAAAGAAACTATGTACCATTTCTTTAATAGATAGAGGTGCATAATCAAGTGTTTGTAAAAGATCACGAACAGCAACAGCAACATTTTTAACTAATTGCATTTGTTCTTTATCATTAATTGGTGATAATGGACGATTATATATTATAGGTATTCCATTTTTATAATCAGTTTCACTTTGTCGTGTTAATTTAAGTACAGTATTAATAATTTGTTTGGTTTGAGAACGAAATGAATTAATTAATAGTGATGATGTTATGAAGTGTTCATCTTTAGATTTTGATGATGATTTGATATGTTTATCATGAAATTGTTTAGTGTTAAGTGAAGAATTTGATGCATTTGATGAAAGCTAAAATAGAATGTCATCATCTGTTCAAATTTCGAGAATTTAAAAACAAAATTCAACTATTACAAGTATCGAATGTGTCTAGAACAGTTTTATTAACGTTTGAAAACTGTTTACGAAATTGAGAAAAATGAAGTCTTTTAGATTTACTACATAGAAATCGAAAGTTTACATCAATAATTTCAATTTTATCGAGACAGCAAAAAGTAAATGAAATTAGTTGTCTTCAAACAAAATATCCATACTAGAAGCAAAAATACATCAAACTCGTTCATTTAACATTACTTCTCTTTGTATTTTGATTACTTCAGCTACTTGAAGAAAGTATCATCAATTAGGTATGCACCGACTCCAAACGTTTGGATTCGATCTTGACGACAATTATTCTTACTTAATTAATAAAAGGAAGTAGAAATAAGCGAAAAGAGAGTCCTTCAGAGGTAAGATCAGCCATTTTTGTTTTGATCTTTCTATCTAAATTTGTAGGATTCTGAGAGCTAACATCTCGAATTTGCTTCCGCGTCTTTTCTTATGTCTCTCATTAAAAAAAATCCGATTTTCGGAAAAGTTCAAAACAATTTCTGAGAAATGGTCTTAAGCGTCAGAAAACATTTTTTATCCAGTCGGATAAAGCTTGATGGAGACCATTATATAGTTAAATGCAGTTCTATAGAAAATCACGGTTTTTCAGAAATGGTTAAAAGAAAACGGAAAGGATACTATTTAAGTATCAATTACTTGGATATAATAACGTGTTATCTTTTTTTATGAATTTCTCATATCTAATTAAAAATCTTAACATCAAAGGCAAAATGAATAATACAGGAATCGCAACGGCGTGTATCTTGAAATCAAGAAAATAGGTAGAATGTTGCAAAATTTATTGCAATCTTTAAACAATGTGAACAATAATCAAAGGAGAGTGAAAAAAACATGCAGTAATATTATAATTTTTTTCGTTCAGATATACATTTCTAATTCTGCTACTTCCTTTTTGTTATTTTTAATGTTTTTGCTTTTCTTTCCATATATACCTTATACCAAGGCTGCTATTTTTTAAACATTCTAATAAGATTTCCTCGATTTAGGATAGGGTATACGTAAAGTTCAATTTTTTAAAGTAGGGTACGATGGTGGATAAATAATTTTTCAAAATTTCGGACACTTTGTAAAAAGACGAATATGATAAGGATATCTTTCTACTGAGATAAAAATATTTTGAATTTTATTTGTAGGAAATGAACTTGATGTTCATTTTTGACCCAAAAAAAAGAGCGAAGAAATTAAACATTTCTAGGATAATTCTACTTCAAGAAATACGATGAAAATCTTTTAATCAAATAAATGCTAGTTAATGGTCTTCATTGGTTATAATATATTAGAAGTTCAGTTATATTCTTATTCTCTATTATCTAAGCAGACAAGAATTTCTAAAAACGTATATTCAGCAAACACCAAAATCAACTACTTCCAGTATACAAGGCGTTGAAGAGATTAACTTTTGCATTTGGAAAATGTACAATAATTTTTTTCTGCAATATTTTGATATTGAGAGAAAACTTTTTGAACGATTTTCAAATGCAAAAATTGCTTTTTTAAGCGTCTTCGTACACCTTTTATAATAAAAGAAGTTGGTATTCAGAATGAATGCGAAAACACTCAAACAGAAATAGCAATTAGAATGTTTTCATATTATAGAGTAAGTCTCACTCTACAACCTAATCTATAAAAATACTTTTCTTATAGTTTGAATTAAAACAGTATTTATTAAAATACAAAACTGAACTACACAAAAAAATTTGTACAAGTTTCCATTAAAGATTTGTTCTCAATGAATTAACTTTAAGCCAGAAAATAAATTCTTCATACATACGGCAAAACATCCTTTAGCACACATCATCATATAGTTCTATGATGAATACTTTTTGACAAACCCTCAACGATGTCTAGGACATGGAGATTTTACTATATTTTAACAATTATTAATTTTCCCAGAACAAAAATGCATGAAAAGACAAGTAACAATGAACAATAGTTAATGTCTTTATTCATTACCACCTTTCAGGCACCTAGTAAACGTATCTGTTTCTTGTAAACGACTGCTTTTTAAAAAAGTGCGAAAGATATTCATTGTAAAGAGATAATACTGTAATTGAAAAGAGCATGAAATTCTGATTCCAATTGATCACTTTTGATTCTCTTCGATGACTTATAAGTCAATGAAAATTGACAAGATCATGTTGTGTAAAGACTTTATACACATAGGTTATAATACATTTGT